ACGTTTTGGATAAATTAAAGTGGTTTTGCAAATTCAGGTAAGTTTGTGGTTGGTTAATGATGCTATGGTATTGATGTAGTAGTTTATATTTTTAGTGGAAGAATTTATTTAACTTTATAAATGATTAGTACTTTATTTTTAGGAGCACTAAGGATTGGAAGATGTCATTTAAATGCCTGTTTATACTTCACCAAATTTTTTTTTTTTTTAAGAGATAGAGTCTTATTTTGTCACCCTCAGTAGAGTGCTGTAGCATCACAGCTCACAGCAACCTCCAGCTCTTGGGCTCAGGCAATCCTCCTGCCTCAGCCTCCCGAGTAGCTGGGACCACAGGCACCCACCACAATGCCCAGCTATTTTTTGTTGCAGTTTGGCCAGGGCCGAGTTTGAACCCGCCACCCTCAGTATATGGGGTCGGCGCCCTACTCACCGAGCCACAGGCACTGCCCAATACTTCACCAAATTTTGGGGGGAAGTTAAACATAGAGTAGTATTTAAAAACTTAACACTTGGTTCATTGCCTGTAGCATAGTGGTTACGCCACCAGCCACATACACCAAGGGAGGTGGGTTCAAACCCAGCCTGGGCCAGCTAAACAACAATGACAACTGAAAAAATAACTGGGCTTTGTGGCAGGCGCCAGTAGTCCCAGCTACTTGGGAGGCTGAGACAAGAAAATCGCTTAAACCCAAGAGTTGGAGGTTGCTATGAGCTGTGAAGCTGTGGCACTCTACCAAGGGTGACATAGTGAGTCTCTGTCTCAACAACAAAGAAAACTCGAGGACTTTGAGAAGTCCTGCAAGTCTTGGGATATTTTGTGTATATCAAGAGTTTATTATAATATTGATCTATCATATTCCAGTAATACCTCTTTCCTTTGCTTTTTTAAAAAAAAAAAAGAGATAGGATCTCTGTCACCCAGAGTGAAATACCGTGGCATGATCATAGCTCACTGCAACCTCAAACTCCTGGGCTTAAGTGATAATCTTGCCTCAGCCTCTCAAGTAACTAAGACTGTAGGTTCAAGTCACCACACGCAGCTAAGTGTTTGCTTTTAATTTTTTTGCTGGTCTCAAATTCTTGACCTCAAGCAGCCATTCCAGCTCCCAAAGTGCTGGATTACAGGTATGATATGAACTACCATGCCTGGCCCTCCAATAATATTTCTCTCCTTGTGGCACTGTAGCACTTTTTGTTGTTTTTGATATATTATAAAATTGATTTCCCCAAGCCTCTGATAATGGTCTTTTTCTCCTCCTCCAAAGTATGCAGATTATGTTAAGTTATAACTTGAGCAGAGGGCTTCTGGTTTATTTTTTTCACTTTTGGGCACTCTCTTCTTTTTTTTTGAGACAGAGTCTCAAGCTGTCACCCTGGGCAGAGTGTTATGGTGTCATAGCTCAAAGCAACCTCCAACTCGTGCTCAAGCAATTCTCTTGCCTCAGTTTTTCTGTTTGTAGTAGAGACAGGGTCTCAGTTTTGCTCAGGCTGGTCTGGAACTCCTGAACTCAAGCAATCCACCCACCTCGGCCTCCCAGAGTACTAGGATTACAGGCATGAGGCATCGTGTTCAGCTAACTTGCTCTATTCAAATGCTATCTAAAATAGCCCCTAAAAGTTTCCACATGGCTTTTATTAATTTCACTATTTTGGTAAACTGTTTTGGACATCTTTGTGAACTGGGATTATTTATACTACCTATTATATGCCATGTATTGAGAAGAGCTACTACAGGCTGAATGTTCCTAATCTGAAATCTGAAATGCTCCAAATCCAAAACAATTTTGAGTACCTACATGACACCCCAAGTGGAAAATTCCACAGCCAATATACTTGCTTTCTGATGAGTCAGTGCACACAAACTTCGTTTCATGCACAAAATTATTTAAAATGTTATATAAAATTAGCTCAGGCTATGTATGTAAGGTATATTTGAAACATGAGTGAATTTCATGTCTGTGCTTGGGTCCCTTTCCCACAATATCTTATTATATATATGGAAACATTCTGAAAAAATCTGAAATCCAAAACACTTCTGGTCCCAAGCATTTTGTGTAAGGGATGCTTAACCTATAGTAATTTCTCAATGAACTCCCAGTGAAGAAGAAGCAAAATATGTATAAAGCAGTGGTTATAAAAAAAAAAAACATGAAATGTGTTATTACACAGTAGTATGGATGTAAGAGTTACAAATAGGATGATCATGAGGAGGATTTCTAAGCAGAATTGAGGAATGAATTGTTTATGATCTTTGTTAATCTGATTGGAGTCTATTCCCTTTCTAGCATGTTTTCACCTGGTTATTGTCGGTATATTGTAAGTCTGTGACATAGGTCTGTTCCAGCTAAATTAAAGAATTCATTCTTGTTTTATTTGAGCTCAAGCCCTTTAGACCAGTGGTTTTAACCTTCCTAATGCCACAGTGTATTTTCATGGCAGTCTAGCCTCTTTAAAATAATGTCAATTTCCAACAATTTATTCCTTCTACTATATTGTAATAAGAATATACAAAATGATGTTAAATTATAATAATAGTAAATACCTTGTTAGATTTACAGAGAATGCCTAAGAGCTTTGCTGTTAAACATAATGCTGATTTCAGGTTTAAAGATGGGACATTTGGCTGAGCGCCTGTGGCTCAAGTGGCTAAGGCACCAGCCACATACACCTAAGGTGGTGGGTTTGAATCCAGCCTGGGCCCACCAAAAAAAATAACAATGACAGCTGCAACCAAAAAATAGCCAGGCGTTGTGGCAGGCGCCTGCGGTCCCAGCTACTTGGGAGACTGAGGCAGGAGACTCGCTTGAGCCCAGGAGTCAGAGGTTGCTGTGAGCTGTGATGCTACGGCACTCCACCCAGGGGGACAGCTTGAGGCTCTGTCTCAACAAAAAAAAAAAAAGGTGGGACATTAGCTAAATTTTATGGAATCCTATGTGTTTATCAGGAATGAATATTAATTCAAATGTTCTTTTGTACTTTATTTAACTAAATTATTTTTTCCTTATTAGGCTATTCTTGCAATAGCTTTGTGTCTCATAAAGAATCTACTTGGTCCATAGCCTGTTCTTTTAATGTATTTGTCGGAATTTCTTTGCCCGTATTTATTTGGAATTTTGTGTATACATTTGTAAGAAAGATTGATGGCTTTTTGTGATGTTTTTAATTGGTTTGAGAATCAGATCATGTTTATGTTAGCACAGAATTATTAAAACAGTCGGCCCTCCATATCCAGAGGTTCCACATCTGTGGATGCAACCTACTGTGAGTTGAAAATAATCTGGAGGGGGGGGGATAAGAATCCACATAGTTCTGAAAAGGAAGTCTTGAATTTGACACATACTGAGTACATTGGCTCTACATGAATGTATAAAGTGATGTGTAAGCATTGTATTAGGAATTATAAGTAATTTAGAAATGATTTTTAAGTATATGAGTGGATGTTTATAGCTTATGTGCAAATATTCGCCATTTTAAATAGGATACTTGAGCATTCTCAGATTTTGGTATGGCAGGGCATCCTGGAACCAGTCTCTCGTAGATACTGAGAGGAGACTCTAGTTATGTCCCTTTACCTAGAGTTGAGTTATGACAGTACAAATGTTTTTATATTAGTGTATTTTGTCATCATAGTATGTCTAAAGGAGAAAACATAAATGTATGCAAATTTTAATTTTTTTTTTTTTTTGGTAAGTTTGCATCAAACTGTATTTGAGAAAAGGCTTATATTTTGTGACCCATTTTTCCTCTTCTCCTCCTTACTGATAAAGGAATAAGCATTCTTAGGGGCTTAATTTTAGATGTTTAGTTTTTTGATCCTATAGGAGGACCTTTCACAACAGTGAAAAAGTGATATAGGGCCTTCTGAATATCCTGTACCATAAATACAGGATTTTAGAAAATAGTTTCTGTTAATTGCTTTTGGGAAAAGAAGTTTGAACTGAATTAGAATATGTGTAAAATATGATTATCTGCTTGCAAGAATTTATAGAATTATTAGAATCTAGCTCAAAATAAAGATATGTTAACAATTATAATGTTAGCAAGACAGAATTTAATTGCTGAAACTAACATAAACCAGTAGACCTAAAATAGCATGAAAATTAAATGTTGTATATAAAAGATGTATCTAATTAGACTTGGTTTATTTAGCACATTTGATATTAATTGGTAAATCTCTTGTGAAAGATCAACATCACTAGCTAAATTACTGCAATTCAGAGAAATGAACCATAATTCTTTTGCATGAGATGACAATTTTAGAAAATTTTATAATTCTAGTTCATATCAACTTGGGAAAAGTTTGAATATCACACCTTCAGCTGAAAGAGGAAGAGAGAAGCATGTCAATTTACAATAGATATTTGTGGTAGAGCAGCAGCAGGAGTCTGAGTGCCAAAGTTAATTAGAGGAGAGGAATTGCAAGGTAGAGTGGCCATTAGCCAGCATGCTGCTGAAAGTGGCTTATGTATAGCCTTCTTTAATTCTGTTAACAAAGGTATCCTTTTATAATGATACTTTCTTAATTGTTAAGATCAGAGAAAAGCACAGATTAGAAATTAGAGATACCAAAAATTCTTGAGGCAAGAAATAAAAGGGGGGGTGGGGAGTAAGTGATGAATCCATTTAACAAATTAAATCTAGGTTAAAATAAGAAGGATTACCTAATAAAGTGTCATAATCTTTTAAAAGATAATATAACAAGCAAAATTAGTGGTAATGGACTGGGACTAAATCACCAGAGTGTGGCAATAAAAACAGGAGAATTAAACAAGGCATGATGTTGACAAATGTAGATGGTAGTTATAATTTGTGGTTTCCAGTTTTTATTTTCTTTCTTTCTTTTTTTTTTTGGTATTACTATTTTTAATCGACATGTGATATTGTACATACTTATGTGGTACACTGATACTTTGATACATGTATGCAGCCACATGTTTTCTACATTATGAAAACATTCCAAGGAAAATGACAAACTTATTGTAGACATTTTCTTCTTTCAGCTGCTTTTCTAACTCAAACTGTGTGTCTTGATGATACTACAGTAAAATTTGAAATATGGGATACAGCTGGTCAAGAACGATACCATAGCCTAGCACCAATGTACTACAGAGGAGCACAAGCAGCCATAGTTGTATATGATATCACTAACGAGG